CTCCCTCAGGCCCCTCCGCTGACCCCCCCCCCCCCTCAGGCCCCTCTCCTGACTCCCCCCTTCCTTAGGCCCCCCCCTGACCCTCCTCCCTTAGGCACCTCCCCTCTCCGTACCCGGCAGTAGGTCTCCACCAATCAAAGAGCTGTTTATGTTATATATTTATTTATGCACGACAAACAGACAGTCAGACAGACAGACAATAAATCCCTGGTGGGCAGTGTGGAACATTGTTCCTACCTGTACATTGTTCCTACCTGTATTATTCACTCACTGCCGTGTGAGCCCCACTTTGTAGTGAATTTAGCAGTCGCCGTCCTATGGTAGAAGCCCCTTTGCCATCGGGACGTGGAATCTCCGTCACCGTGTGCCCAGGGCTGTAAACGGTAGAAGAGATCACCCACTCAACTCATCCCGTTCGTGACTTGTTGTTGACCGACATCGCCATTGCGTGGCGCTGTGTCCACACGGCTGGTGCCTTGCAGCCAGCGCACGGCAACTCTCTGTCCCCCCCCCTTCTCCAAGGTCTGCGTGGACTTCCTCCGGGTTCTCCGGGTTCCTCCCGCAGCGCAGCCAAACGCATGCAATGCCATTCGCGCTTGGGCCTCAACATTCCAATGTGGCAGGAGCCTCCTGAAAAGTAGTCTTCAGACTCGGTGCGGCTCCCCCGGGCGCCGCGGTGGCCAGGAGATGTTGACTCCCTCGCCAGGTGCACAGGAGGTCGTTGGGTTCAATGCCGACCTGGCGTCCGCTGCTGCGGTGTATCTGGAGTCTGCTCGTTATCTCTTTCCCCGTGGTCGCGTGGATTTTTCTCCGGTCCTCCGGTTTTTTCCCGCCACATTTAGAATTGGCGTGCGTTTTAAAGTATTTGGTATTTGGCTGCTATAAGGGGCCGTCCATAAATGACGTGACGCGATTTTGGACGATTTTTTACACCCCCCCCCCCCTCGTCACACGGCGTCACAAAAAGTCAGACCCCCCCCCCTCTCAAATATGACGTCACAAAGCTCTGCCCCCCCCCAAACCATATTTCCATTTTGAAAATAAAACACGCTTTCAAATCGCTTTAAACTATTGTCATTGTAGTGCCTATTTAATGTGGCGCTGCACTCTGATGTTGTAGAAGAAAACATTTATTGAAAAGTCTATTTAATTAAGTAGAATGTGTTGTCTATATTTATTTAAAGGTGCGCATTTTGATGTGACGTCACATTTCTCACCCCCCCCCCCCCTCGTAACACATCGTCACAAATGTCTAATCCCCCCCCCCCCAGGTGCGTGACGTCATTTATGGACGGCCTCTAAATGTCCACACGATAAGCCACTTCGTTGAGCTATCATTTGTGATAGCCTGGTCGCTTTTGAAAAAAAGAGCTCGATAGCTCAGTGGGCCTCACCTGATTAATATATATATATAGTTTAGTTTAGAGAAAAATTATGAGTATGACACCTGCCATGGTGTTGCAACCTGCCCTGCCGAAGGAGGAGGACACGGAACCGCACGTCACCAGCACTACGGCCAGCAGCCGTCAGTGTTACTTCCGTCGCCGGCATGAGCGGCAGCTTCATCAGCAGCAGCTTCATCAGCAGCAGCTTCATCAGCAGCAGCTTCAGCAGCAGCAGCTTCAGCAGCAGCAGCTTCAGCAGCAGCAGCTTCAGCAGCAGCAGCTTCAGCAGCAGCAGCTTCAGCAGCAGCAGCTTCAGCAGCAGCAGCTTCAGCAGCAGCAGCTTCAGCAGCAGCAGCTTCAGCAGCAGCAGCTTCAGCAGCAGCAGCTTCAGCAGCAGCAGCTTCAGCAGCAGCAGCTTCAGCAGCAGCAGCTTCAGCAGCAGCAGCTTCAGCAGCAGCAGCTTCAGCAGCAGCAGCTTCAGCAGCAGCAGCTTCAGCAGCAGCAGCTTCAGCAGCAGCAGCTTCAGCAGCAGCAGCTTCAGCAGCAGCAGCTTCAGCAGCAGCAGCTTCAGCAGCTGAGCTGAGCCGTCTCGCCACACCGCGGGTAGGTTAATGCGCAACAACGCCACTGAATAGCTTGCTCAAAGCAGACTGCCATCTCCATCCACTGTGTTTAACCACCACGCTGCAGGTCACAACAACACACTCACTCAACCACTCACCCACTCAACCACCACACTGCAGGTCACAACAACACACTCACTCAACCACTCATCCACTCAACCACTCACCCACTCAACCACCACACTGGAGGTTACAACAACACACTCACTCATCCACTCAACCACTCATCCACTCAACCACCCATCCACTCAACCACCACACTGCAGGTTACAATACACTCACTCAACAACTCACGCACTCATCCACTCAACCACCACACTTGTGTGGCAAGTGTCACAATTGAGTCGCTTGTGGTGGAGTTGCGTCGCTTGTGGTGGAGTTGAGTCAATTGTCGTGGAGTTGAGTCGGTTGTGGTGGAGTTGAGTCGCTTGTGGTGGAGTTGAGTCGCTTGTGGTGGAGTTGAGTCGCTTGTGGTGGAGTTGAGTCGGTTGTGGTGGAGTTGAGTCGCTTGTGGTGGAGTTGAGTCGCTTGTGGTGGAGTTGAGTCGCTTGTGGTGGAGTTGAGTCGCTTGTGGTGGAGTTGAGTCGCTTGTGGTGGAGTTGAGTCGCTTGTGGTGGAGTTGAGTCGCTTGTGGTGGAGTTGAGTCGCTTGTGGTGGAGTTGAGTCGGTTGTGGTGGAGTGAGTCGTTGTTGGTGGAGTTGAGTCGCTTGTGGTGGAGTTGAGTCGCTTGTGGTGGAGTTGAGTCGCTTGTGGTGGAGTTGAGTCGCTTGTGGTGGAGTTGAGTCGCTTGTCGTGGAGTTGAGTCGCTTGTGGTGGAGTTGAGTCGCTTGTCGTGGAGTTGAGTCGGTTGTGGTGGAGTTGAGTCGCTTGTGGTGGAGTTGAGTCGCTTGTGGTGGAGTTGAGTCGCTTGTGGTGGAGTTGAGTCAATTGTCGTGGAGTTGAGTCGGTTGTGGTGGAGTTGAGTCGCTTGTGGTGGAGTTGAGTCGCTTGTGGTGGAGTTGAGTCAATTGTCGTGGAGTTGAGTCGGTTGTGGTGGAGTTGAGTCGCTTGTGGTGGAGTTGAGTCGCTTGTGGTGGAGTTGAGTCGCTTGTGGTGGAGTTGAGTCAATTGTCGTGGAGTTGAGTCGGTTGTGGTGGAGTTGAGTCGCTTGTGGTGGAGTTGAGTCGCTTGTGGTGGAGTTGAGTCGCTTGTGGTGGAGTTGAGTCAATTGTCGTGGAGTTGAGTCGCTTGTGGTGGAGTTGAGTCGCTTGTGGTGGAGTTGAGTCGCTTGTGGTGGAGTTGAGTCGCTTGTGGTGGAGTTGAGTCGCTTGTGGTGGAGTTGAGTCGCCTTGTGGTGGAGTTGAGTCGCTTGTGGTGGAGTTGAGTCGCTTGTGGTGGAGTTGAGTCGCTTGTGTGGAGTTGAGTCGCTTGTGGTGGAGTTGAGTCGCTTGTGGTGGAGTTGAGTCGGCTTGTGGTGGAGTTGAGTCGCTTGTGGTGGAGTTGAGTCGCTTGTGGTGGAGTTGAGTCGCTTGTGGTGGAGTTGAGTCGGCTTGTCGGTGGAGTTGAGTCGCTTGTGGTGGAGTTGAGTCGATTGTGGTGGAGTTGAGTCGGTTGTGGTGGAGTTGAGTCGCTTGTGGTGGAGTTGAGTCGCTTGTGGTGGAGTTGAGTCGCTTGTGGTGGAGTTGAGTCAATTGTCGTGGAGTTGAGTCGGTTGTGGTGGAGTTGAGTCGCTTGTGGTGGAGTTGAGTCGCTTGTGGTGGAGTTGAGTCGCTTGTGGTGGAGTTGAGTCGCTTGTGGTGGAGTTGAGTCGCTTGTGGTGGAGTTGAGTCGCTTGTGGTGGAGTTGAGTCGCTTGTGGTGGAGTTGAGTCGTTGTGGTGGAGTTGAGTCGCTTGTGGTGGAGTTGAGTCGCTTGTGGTGGAGTTGAGTCGCTTGTGGTGGAGTTGAGTCGCTTGTGGTGGAGTTGAGTCGCTTGTGGTGGAGTTGAGTCGCTTGTGGTGGAGTTGAGTCGCTTGTGGTGGAGTTGAGTCGCTTGTGGTGGAGTTGAGTCGCTTGTGGTGGAGTTGAGTCGCTTGTGGTGGAGTTGAGTCGCTTGTGGTGGAGTTGAGTCGCTTGTGGTGGAGTTGAGTCGCTTGTGGTGGAGTTGAGTCGCTTGTCGTGGAGTTGAGTCGCTTGTGGTGGAGTTGAGTCGCTTGTGGTGGAGTTGAGTCGGTTGTGGTGGAGTTGAGTCGCTTGTGGTGGAGTTGAGTCGCTTGTGGTGGAGTTGAGTCGCTTGTGGTGGAGTTGAGTCAATTGTCGTGGAGTTGAGTCGGTTGTGGTGGAGTTGAGTCGCTTGTGGTGGAGTTGAGTCGCTTGTGGTGGAGTTGAGTCGCTTGTGGTGGAGTTGAGTCGCTTGTGGTGGAGTTGAGTCGCTTGTCGTGGAGTTGAGTCGCTTGTGGTGGAGTTGAGTCAATTGTCGTGGAGTTGAGTCGGTTGTGGTGGAGTTGAGTCGCTTGTGGTGGAGTTGAGTCGCTTGTGGTGGAGTTGAGTCGCTTGTGGTGGAGTTGAGTCAATTGTCGTGGAGTTGAGTCGGTTGTGGTGGAGTTGAGTCGCTTGTGGTGGAGTTGAGTCGCTTGTCGTGGAGTTGAGTCGCTTGTGGTGGAGTTGAGTCGCTTGTCGTGGAGTTGAGTCGCTTGTGGTGGAGTTGAGTCGCTTGTGGTGGAGTTGAGTCGCTTGTGGTGGAGTTGAGTCGCTTGTGGTGGAGTTGAGTCGCTTGTGGTGGAGTTGAGTCGCTTGTGGTGGAGTTGAGTCGCTTGTGGTGGAGTTGAGTCGCTTGTGGTGGAGTTGAGTCGCTTGTGGTGGAGTTGAGTCGCTTGTGGTGGAGTTGAGTCGCTTGTGGTGGAGTTGAGTCGCTTGTCGTGGAGTTGAGTCGCTTGTGGTGGAGTTGAGTCGCTTGTGGTGGAGTTGAGTCGCTTGTGGTGGAGTTGAGTCGCTTGTGGTGGAGTTGAGTCGCTTGTCGTGGAGTTGAGTCGCTTGTGGTGGAGTTGAGTCGCTTGTGGTGGAGTTGAGTCGCTTGTCGTGGAGTTGAGTCGCTTGTGGTGGAGTTGAGTCGCTTGTGGTGGAGTTGAGTCGCTTGTGGTGGACACTGGTTGGAGCTAACGCCACTCACCTGGCGCAGGGAGACAATCGTAGTCAGAAGCTCCTAAATTCCCAAAACGCACGTTTCATATTTTGCGTGAATTATCTTACTACATTGTGCTTTACAAGTGGAATTTACTGCTACGTTTGTTCCGTGTTAAACTGAAAGAGGGAAGTCGTTGCTTAGCGTTCGTCATTGCTGTACACACAGCCGGCGACTTTCGTGACAGCGGTAACAGCAGGAGAAGGTGCAACAGACGCGAAAGAGGTTAATTCGTGTTGCAGCTCGAGATTATTCTAAACAATCATTTGACTCGAATAACTTGAGCAGGTTTAACCGCCACGACGGGTCACGGAGAGACACAGAGACGCACACAGAGAAGAGGAACGGCGATCAACGGGACTTTCCAGGTGAAATATTTTATTTAATACTTTGTATCTTCTCAAACGCGGTTGTTTTTGCTCTGATTTCTATTTGGTTGTTTTTGTTCTGATTTCTATTGGGGTTATTGTTGTGGTTCATTGCTTTTTTTTTGTCTTTTTAGTTCTCTCCTAGTTAAACGATATATTGACATTATTAAATAAAGAGCCACACAGAGACAGCGAATAACTGAGATCAGAGGAACCCCGAAGAGCAAGGATATGTAAGTGATAAGAGAGAAAGGCAGACATGGCATTGTACTACATTGGATTGTAATACATTGTATTGTGTTGTAACACTTTGAATTGTAACACTTTGTATTTTCCATAAGAGGTTTTCGGTTAGATGGCGTAAATATAAATGTGTCGTTAAACACGCCACCACCCTACACAACCAATTAGTAAGGTTTGCCACCGGTGTATTGAAGTGAACCCACAACATGTATAGTTCGAGTACGACGTCTCCCCGGTAATTACAACCAGCCTCATCAGGTGACTTTGTATTTTAACACAATGCATTGTAACACATTGTATTGTAACACATTGTATAGCAACAAATTGTATTGTAACACATTGCATTTTAACACATCGCATTGTGACGCTTTGTATGGGCGCCGTGATGGCGATGTTTTCACTACTTCGCCTGGTATACAGGAGGTCGTGGGTTCAATCCCGACCCTGATGCCTGTATATTAGGAGTTTGCATGTTCTCCCCGTGGTCGTGTGGACATTTCTCCAGGTCCACTGGTTTTTCACTCCATATTTAGAATCAACACGCGTTTAGAGTATTTGGCTGCTATACATTTCCACATAATAAGCCACTTTATTGAGCTATCATTTGTGGCCAGCTCGCTTCTGAAAAAGAGCTGTATAGCTTAGTATGCCTTACCTAGTAAAATAAAAATAGATAAGTTTAGATTGTTACACTTTGTATTTTAACACATTGTATTGTAATACATTGCATTATAACACAGCATTATAATACATTGTATTATAACACATTGCATTATAACACTTTGTATTTTAACACATTGCATTGTAACACGTTGCATTGTAACACGTAACATTGTAACACGTAACATTGTAACACATTGAATTATAACACAAGGCTTTGTAACACATTGCAATACATTGCCCTTGTTTGTTTTTCAGGGTCGTCAGGAGACATGGCATTCTTGAGCCTCGCCCTGCTGCTGTTCATCTCCCACGTGACGTCCGGATGCCCGGGCGAATGCGCTTGCTACGGGTCCACCATCGACTGCTCTTTCAGGATGCTGGCATCTGTTCCGAGGGGCCTGCCTGCCGATGCGGAGTGGTTGAGGCTGGACTACAATCAGTTGACCTACCTTTCACACACCGACTTCCCCAACAGCGACAGCATCGCGCGTCTGTGCCTAAACGACAACAGCATACGGAATTTCAGCCGAGGCACCTTTGACCACTTCCCACGACTTCAGATGCTCTCACTTCACGGCAACCTCCTGCAGAGCATCCCATGGGGTGGATTCGATCGGCTCTCCAATTTAATCATGATTCGATTGTACAATAACCCGTGGGACTGCGAGCAAAGAGATGTTCTGTACTTGAGTCACTGGATCAAAACCCACAAAGACCTGTTTGATGAATACGACGATGTGAGTTGTTCTACAGACCTTATGTATGTTAAAGATGTTAAGGATCTTGACTTTGAGGTAATGACCAATGACAATAAGACATTTCCTACAATCCCGGCAATCAAAGCAAGTATTGCTTCTCCTGCAGATGATTTTAGGTGCCCTTTTTATGGTTGTCATTGTAGAAATGAAACTGTTGATTGTACTAATAAAAAGTACTGCTCAATACCTCCAGGTATACCACAAACCACAAGAATCCTCAACATGAAACACAATAATATAAAATTAATTAATGCCAAAGCCTTTTACACAATGCAAGAATTACAACTATTGGATCTTAGTCATAATGAGATATCATCACTCTCCAATGAGACATTCTACGGCCTCACAAATTTACGGAAACTTTTTATCAGCTTCAACAAACTGAAAAGCCTTGACAGGAGATTACTCCTTCCCTTGACTGGTTTAGAACAGCTGTATCTCAACAATAACCAGCTGAGATGTCTTCACCAGAGTGCATTTAATTCGTTGCAGAAGCTCAGGTTTTTAAACTTGTCAAGCAACAATTTGTCTGTAATCCACAAAGGTACATTTAATTCACTCAACAGTCTAGAAGGAATCGATCTCACAATTAACTTTTGGAACTGTAAATGCAAACATATTTTACACCTTGTTCACTGGATGAAAAATAATACTAAAAAGTCCATGTTAGAATCTGTGATGTGCGCAGGTGGTCATAAGCGTGTGGTTGCAGTCAGCCGTCCAGATGTAAGCCACCATCACTGCTTGCCTCAACGTGGCGTGGAGGATTGTAATTTAGGTCAACATTCACATAATTCATCATCGGGTCACGAAAATAACAGAAACAGTCATGGGGTTAACAGTGGTGCACTCCATAAGTTTTCTTTCAAAATAATATTTATTCTCTTTAGTTCAACACATTGGGCAAGAGCTTAACATTTACAATATCTCCCCTTCTCCCCATGTCACCTGTTACGCCCACCTTCCCCCTTCTTTCTCGCAGAGTGCAAGCATCTATCGCTTTTTGTTTTTAAGTGAGGTAAACGTAAACATTAATGCACTCTGTGGAGAAAGTTCTTATAGAAGACTTAAGGGGCGGGTCGATATAATGTTTCCTCTCGTCGTCTTCTGGAAGATTTTTGGCTGGAAAATGCAGTTACTGATAAGCAGAGCTAGTCTGAAAGGCGTGGGGTGGACCGATACAATGTGTCGAAGAGGCTTCCAGTATAAACCTTCCTGTAGCAATGTTGTCTGTCTGATTAAACACCTTTTTTGTCTTCGTTTAGATTTAAGGTGGGGAGATAAAAAACAATTGAAAGGGAAATGTATTCTGGAAAAATGTTAAGACATGATTAACGTATGTGGAAGATTCTTTCAGAGTAATTAACCATCGTTGATGTGCATTCCTCCCATTCGTTTTATGTAAATGATTCTTGACGAGGTAGAGGACCAATAAGCATCGTCAAGAATAAAGCTGCTGGTCAGTGTACTGTATACATCTATTATCGGGTGGGGTGATGGTCGTGACGTTTTTGTTCTGAAAATATCCACACGAATTCACGTAATTACAGAGTACATAGCACTCCATCGTGTTCCAGAGTTACCGATCATAACTGAGTTTGTTTTTTACGTGCTGCCTTTAACGAGCCGAGAATAGTTGCGACTATACGACCTGGGGAATTCCCAGAAAGGCCACGAGATGAACTGGTTACATATCCCATTTCTTTCATGGAATTGCAATCATTCTGGGAAAGGGAAATGAGTAACTGATATATTTCCCCCCTCTATCGCGAATGGGCCTGTATGAGGATGTTCCGGCACGTCGGGCTGGGTGGTGCAGTGGCAGAATGCTCGGCTCGCAATTGTAAGGTTCAGAGTTCTGATCCCCAACCGGGGATCAACTCGAACCAGCACCCCTCGCTCTGTGGGAAGTCAGGAGTGTCTGTGTTGGGGCCGCTGGTCCCCGGAGTCCCTCCCTGCTCCGTGCCTATGGCAGGGGCTCCGCCGTGCGCCGACCCCTCGCTGCTCTGCGAGCAGCTGCTGCCGTCGCTGGGCTCATCGCCCGACGGCTCCCCTCCCTGGTCCGTCCCTCCGCGAGCTCGTGTGAGAGGCATAGCTCGCCGCACGCCCTCGTTCACCTGCAGACGCTGCGTTGTCTCTCCACGGATCACGCGCTATTAAAACGGGGGTCGGGGGCGAACGGCGCTGCCCTCACACTGCTCGAGTCCCGGCGGCGACAGACGGATCGGGGACCTGCGGACGCACCGACCCCTTCACCCACACTACGAGCGCACACACCTGCACACACGCGACACCCACTCGTGCGCCGCTCTACGCAGAGCTCACTCACGTGGTGAACCACAGTGTACACACGCGCACCCACACGCTCACACTGCACGACAATATCACGCGAGACCACGCTTCGCTATTAATGATTTATTATCTGATACCTGGTAATTTAATGTTAAATCAGTGAGTCGACGAGGCTGGCCTACGCTGATACCTTTATACCTATTCCCGATTTATCTGCTATGATTCTAATTCACCTACTTACTTCCTGCTGGATGCCCACGGCGGTTCGTTGATCCCGTGCTCGCAGCGCACCTCGATGCGTCTCACGGACGATCGGGTCGCTGGACTGGAGAGCGTCCTGTCGCCTGGCGCTGGAGAGAAGAGAAGAGAGCTATTTTCCCTCTGCGCCCCTCTATTTATCCTCCCTACCTCAAAGGGGATGCTGCGCTAAACAATGGGCTCGCGATCCTCTGGCACGCGCACGGCGGTTCTGGGCGCTGTTGATATGCTAATCAGTGTGCTGCGTGCAAGGCGTAAATCCTACTTAATCCCTTACCCTCCCTAACAATGGGGCCTGCGCGCTCAAGCGCAATTATCCCAACCCTCCATGACTATGCGCAACAGCCCCTGTGACCCCCCTATTCATGCTGTCCCGTGCCTCCCCTGCTCGCCCCGTTGACCCGTGGGAGTGTGTGTGGGGGGAGATGCGCTTCAACCGCGGTGGCCGAATGCCCCACGCCGCGACCAAACCATATTAAGGCCGGCCGCAGCGCCGCGGTGCCACGTAGCACGGGGGAGGTCATCCAATCCCCTGATCGCCGGAAACCGTGAGAATTAATCCCGATAAGGGTCTCTCGGATAAAAACCGGTCGGCCAGGCGACCTCCCCTCGGAGCTCTATGGGGGGGGGGGGGAAATGAGTGCGGGTGTGTTCATGTGAGGTGAGGTGAGGGGGACGCGGGGTCGGCTCCGTTGCTTGGTGGTGGCGAGGTCGGGGATTTGGTGCCTGCCGAACGGCTTCGTGGCGGCGGCATCACATAGCCCCCCGAGGTGCCAGTCCCCGTCCCGGGTTGACTGGAGCACCTCGCTTGGGCCGCGCCCACGAGGAAACGTTGCGGGGTCCGGGGGATCCGTCCGGACCTGGTGGCTGGCCTCGGGGCGGGTGGTTCCGTCCTCTGTAGCTCCTGCGGCGGTCTCCTCCTCCACTCCAGCGGTTGCTCGACTAGGGTATCGAAAGGGAGGCCTGCGCTACTCTTTTTGGGCTGCCACCACGCGGTGCGAGCTAGGTACCTGAGTAGCTTGTCTGCAGCTAGCGCGTCAATGACCTCCTTCGAGAACTCTGGACGGGCGATCCGGGTTAGTGATCGCACGTCCTCAGCGTAGTCTCGGAAGTCCTCGCCAGTTTGGCGTCGGCGCGCCTCTAAGGCGGTCTTCGCCCGTATCACGTTGCGCGTGCCGAAACGCAGGTCTAATCTACGCATTAGTTCTTCTAGTTGGGTTTGCGCGCTTTCGGGTAGTGCCTCTACAAAGTCGGCTGCCCGCCCGTCTAAGTTTAACGTAAGATGTCGCAACGCCTGCGCGTCCGACCAGCCATTAAGCTCTTTAGCCCCTATGATATTACGGGAAAACGCTTTCCATGTAGGGGTCCCCTGGCCGGTGAACACATGCCTTACCTTTGCGTGGAGTAGCGCGCCACCTTCCCGTGAAGATGTGAGGGTTCGTCCCACTTCTGACACCAAGTTGTTGGGGCCGCTGGTCCCCGGAGTCCCTCCCTGCTCCGTGCCTATGGCAGGGGCTCCGCCGTGCGCCGACCCCTCGCTGCTCTGCGAGCAGCTGCTGCCGTCGCTGGGCTCATCGCCCGACGGCTCCCCTCCCTGGTCCGTCCCTCCGCGAGCTCGTGTGAGAGGCATAGCTCGCCGCACGCCCTCGTTCACCTGCAGACGCTGCGTTGTCTCTCCACGGATCACGCGCTATTAAAACGGGGGTCGGGGGCGAACGGCGCTGCCCTCACACTGCTCGAGTCCCGGCGGCGACAGACGGATCGGGGACCTGCGGACGCACCGACCCCTTCACCCACACTACGAGCGCACACACCTGCACACACGCGACACCCACTCGTGCGCCGCTCTACGCAGAGCTCACTCACGTGGTGAACCACAGTGTACACACGCGCACCCACACGCTCACACTGCACGACAATATCACGCGAGACCACGCTTCGCTATTAATGATTTATTATCTGATACCTGGTAATTTAATGTTAAATCAGTGAGTCGACGAGGCTGGCCTACGCTGATACCTTTATACCTATTCCCGATTTATCTGCTATGATTCTAATTCACCTACTTACTTCCTGCTGGATGCCCACGGCGGTTCGTTGATCCCATGCTCGCAGCGCACCTCGATGCGTCTCACGGACGATCGGGTCGCTGGACTGGAGAGCGTCCTGTCGCCTGGCGCTGGAGAGAAGAGAAGAGAGCTATTTTCCCTCTGCGTCCCTCTATTTATCCTCCCTACCTCAAAGGGGATGCTGCGCTAAACAATGGGCTCGCGATCCTCTGGCACGCGCACGGCGGTTCTGGGCACTGTTGATATGCTAATCAGTGTGCTGCGTGCAAGGCGTAAATCCTACTTAATCCCTTACCCTCCCTAACAATGGGGCCTGCGCGCTCAAGCGCAATTATCCCAACCCTCCATGACTATGCGCAACAGCCCCTGTGACCCCCCTATTCATGCTGTCCCGTGCCTCCCCTGCTCGCCCCGTCGACCCGTGGGAGTGTGTGTGGGGGAAGATGCGCTTCAACCGCGGTGGCCGAATGCCCCACGCCGCGACCACACCATATTAAGGCCGGCCGCAGCGCCGCGGTGCCACGTAGCACGGGGGAGGTCATCCAATCCCCTGATCGCCGGAAACCGTGAGAATTAATCCCGATAAGGGTCTCTCGGATAAAAACCGGTCGGCCAGGCGACCTCCCCTCGGAGCTCTATGGGGGGGGGGGGGGGGGAATGAGTGCGGGTGTGTTCATGTGAGGTGAGGTGAGGGGGACGCGGGGTCGGCTCCGTTGCTTGGTGGTGGCGAGGTCGGGGATTTGGTGCCTGCCGAACGGCTTCGTGGCGGCGGCATCACATCTGTACTGTGGATAAACTGATCCCTACCATAAGAATGTGCAATGGACACCAATGACTCACTGATTCACCAACATAAATGAGCACTGCAATGCTCTACGTATGAGCGTATTCTTGTTGTTATTTCAAATGAAGGCAGAGAAGAGGGTGGTGCAAAGTAAACTACCTTGATCAGAGTAAAAACTTGGGCCACGTTCCGTCAACATGCAGAAGGTTTCAACAACACACAGTAGCGTGTACTGTGTGTGTAAAACAAGCTCTCAGCCTTAAGCACTTTGCAACGCCACTAGTTCCTGAAGAACTGCAGTTGTCATCTTAAGTCACCATCACTGAATTCAACAACACACAGTAGCGTGTACTGTGTGTGTAAAACAAGCTCTCAGCCTTAAGCACTTTGCAACGCCACCAGTTCCTGAAGAACTGCACTGTTGTCATCTTAAGTCACCATCACTGAAGTCAACAACACACAGTAGCTTGTTTTAAACACACAGTAGCGTGTACTGTGTGTGTAAAACAAGCTCTCAGCCTTAAGCACTTTGCAACGCCACCAGTTCCTGAAAAACTGCACTGTTGTCATCTTAAGTCACCATCACTGAATTCAACAATACACAACACATTGTTGTGTCTTCTTGGTTCTTTCGGTAAAGTCATGTAGAAGGGAAATAATAAAATAATAAAAATAAACGTAATAAAATACAATTCTCACGACGTTTCGGCCACAACGCAAGCAGCCGTCCTCAGGTAAAGAACATGTCTGTTCGAAAGACAGCATATTTATGGAAAATGCAGATATGGGATTAGTCACTACTTGTGGAATGCGTTGGAGGTGGGGGGGGGGGTCTCAAAGTCATATTATGCCCGTGCATTATATAGGATTAGCAGCATCAAAGGGAGGGAGTAGGGTTAGCAGTAATAAAGGGAAGGAATTTTAATAGTAAGGAGCTGCAGCAGCTAAACCACCACGTAAAAAATTATTAAATATGCCTCCAGCTAAACTTTTTTCTTAAACCCAACATTAAATTATATACTGCATTACTATACACCACCCTATACCTTAAACTATACATTGT